AGTTTCGTAAATGCTACGTAATTTTAATGACATAATTGTAACGTTATGTTAAATACGTAACATTTATGTTTCTTTGTGAATGTAAATGTGCATACTTTAAAATTTTCGTAAATGCTACGTAATTTTAATGATATAATAGTAACGTTATGTTAAATACGTAACATTTATGTATTTTGGTGAATGTAAATGTGTATACTCTAAAAGTTTCATAAATACAACATAACTCTAATTACGTAATAGTAACGTTATGTTAAATACGTAATATTTATGTAGTTTGACAAATGTAAATGTGCATACTCTAAAATTTTCGTAAATGCTACGTAATTTTAATGACATAATTGTAATGTTATATTAAATACGTAATATTTATGTATTTTGATAAATGTAAATGCACATATTCTAAAATTTTTTAATATACTACGTAGTTTTAATGACATAATTGTAACGTTATGTTAAATACGTAACATTCACGTATATTGGAAAATGTAAATGTGTATATTTAAAAAATTTTATTAATGCTATATAACTGTAATGACATAATTGTAACGTTATGTTAAATATGTAACATTAATATTATTTTGTTGATATCAATGTATATATTCTGTAAAAACCTTATTATAACCATTATATAATTATAATAACGAAATTGCGATGTCACATTAAATAAAAAAAGATATCGCAATTTCGTTATTATAACTATATATAACGGTTATAATAAAGTTTTTACAGAATGTATACATTGATGTCAACAAAATAATGTTAATGTTATGTATTTAACATAATGTTACAATTATAGTTATTAGAATTATATAGCATTTACGAAACTTTTAGATTATACACATTTATATTAACCAAAATACATAAATGTTACATATTTAACATAACATTACAATTATGTTATAAAAATTACGTAGCATTTACGAAACTTTTAGAGTGTACACATTTACATTAACCAAAATACATAAATGTTACGTATTTAACATAACGTTACAATTATGTCATTAAAATTACGTAGCATTTACGAAACTTTTAGAGTATACACATTTACATTAACCAAAATACATAAATCTTATGTATTTAACATACGTTACAATTATGTCATTAAAATTACGTAGTATTTACGAAACTTTTAGAGTATACACATTTACATTAACCAAAATACATAAATCTTATGTATTTAACATACGTTACAATTATGTCATTAAAATTACGTAGTATTTACGAAACTTTTAGAGTATACACATTTACATTAACCAAAAACATAAATATTACATAACAAAGTAACGCCAAAATTACATAACAATTTTATGTAAGAATTATAGATTCATTACGTTATTGACATAAACGATACGTCATAGTTGTGTAATAATTGTGAGTCTTCTTTTACCGCTACGCGGTGTACAATTCTTTATCTATCTCGCATTCAAATTTTAGTTAGGAAAGTTTAAAGTTGATGAAATTGACGGTAACATCTGTGTTAATATAGAATTGAATTTTCTTATGTTGGGATCATGTCACAAAGAATAATGAGATTATTCTTTGTGACATGATCTCAACATAAGAAAATTCAATTCAGATATTAAAGTATTAAAGTGATTCCTCAGAAATCAGATAAATAAATGTCCGACGAGACTGAGTGAAAATATCTTCATTATATTATTTACTTTCTGTAAAAAAAACAACTTTTTTCACGAATAAAATAAAAATTTTTTAATATACAATAACATTATCTTAAACTCTAAAACGCTTTCCTTAATATTTTTCGAATAGATAATCAGTAAAAACGTTTCCGAGAGCTGCTTATTATGAAACATTTCTAAAACAAATATGTGCTATCTTTTATAAAAAAATTACATAATGGTTATCATAGAGAGATTCTGTATTAGTTACGTAATTTTATAAAATTTTATGTATCTGTTAGGTTTAAATTTTATGTATTTATTACATATCATATCAGGCATAATGTTGCTGACAATTCCATCTAAACGTTACTTAATAGTTGACATATCGGTTACCTGAACAGAGAATATCTTATCTGTAAATGTTATGTAAATGTTCTGTAAATGTTCTGTAAATGTTATATCTGTAAATATTTAATATAGATTCTGTATTAGTTACGTAATTTTATATCCAATTTTATGTATCTATTACGTTTAAATTTTATGTATCTATTACATATCATATACAGGCATAATGTTGCTGACATTTCCATCTAAATGTTACTTAATAGTTGACATAACGGTTACCAGAACCGCGAACAACTGTTTTGTAAATGGTCTGTAAAAGTTACAGAACAGTGTTTATTGGGTTCATAATTAAACCTTAAATTAAAATTTTATTAAAGTAAACTCTACTTAAAATTAATTGGAGAATGTGGTTTTGTTAATACTTTATTTCCACAAGGCTTAGTTTGTAAAAAAAACCCTTTATTTTTAATTGCTTATAACTCGAAAATTATTGATGCCTCAATATTTTGCCGAGGAAAAATTGTCTTCAAACAAGATCAACTTGTATATTTTCGGTGTGACACCTTATGTCAGACACCCTGTATATGAACATAAATTATATTAATTGCAATTAAACACACTTTTTTTACATTTCTCTGCATGTTAATAAATTAAAAGAAAAGTATTAAAAAGTTTCTTTTTTTATTTTATATTTAGAAATATTCTGATCAAACGAAAAGATTGCTTTTTATAGACAGATATTAACAAAATATTCATATTATTATCTAATATTTCAATGTGTGATAACAAAATTCATTTTGTGTATTTTGCTCTGTATGTTTCCAGAAATATATTAATAAAGATATTTTGGGTACGTTTTACCATGCAGTTTTATGTTACGTTTCCTTTTGATAAGATCTATATTTTCACTATCATATATATATATATATATATATATATTGAATGACACATTTCTTTTCATCTTTGCGTTAAAAAATCGCATCGCTACGATAGCACTATTATTCTATTATCTTTTAAAATAGTCTTAATTATTATTCACAAATGGAATATCGACCACGAACCATAATTTTCTGACAACGCGACAATTCATATTTCTTTCTAGTGCCTGTAAATAGGAAGAAAACGTAATGGAAGCGTGCGCGAGGCTTTGTTAACGGTCGTCTCCTTCCACGATGCAATCAGCGAAAAATAATTGCAGACAAAGAAAATAAAGTGTTCGCGCGTTCGAGATTTTATTCGCATCCGTTTTAATTATCAGGAGCTCGCCACTAGGCCGATAATAATGATGTGCGTTCGTTCGAACGTAAAGTTCTCTCCCTGTATGTGTGCCATTGCTTCAATAGCAGATTCTTGGACAGTAGCGATCGTTTGTTTAAGATAACCAAAAATAATGCGCCATCATTTCTTTCTTTTCGTTTCTTCGATATATTTAGTGAAAAGTAGAGAAATGAAAAGAGAAGGAAAAGAAACGTTCGCGTTCTTATTTTATTGTCTTCGTAAGAGAATTTACAACTTTCGTGTTTTGGTAGCAAGATAATAATGTGTTATAAAGTATTTATTTATTAGTCTCATATGTGTAATATTGTATATATATATATATATATATATATATATATATATATAGAATAACTTTGACAGAGTGAAAGAATTATAAATAAAAAATACCTATATAAATTCTGTGAATTCTCTACAAGTTTCGTTACTTTTGAACATCTTGAAACTGTAATATTTTAAAACGTGTCTAGACATTGTTTTTGGAAATTATTAAATTTAATTTTTTTTTCCTTATAACGATATTCATTATTCTCTCACCGAGAGGTACAATTATCAATTATGCAATGACCGCAAAAAGAAAGAAAAATGTAATGAAGAACATTTAGATTTAAAATTTATTGATCGCAGCAGTTTAGAACTATTTTAAGTGCATTATGTAAGGCGATTCTTTTTATGTTAGTCTGGTATTTATTTTCAGAGAATTCTTTTGTGTCTTTTTCCTTTTCTTTTAATTATTTCATGAATATTTGAAAAATTATAATTAAAAATGTGCTCTGTATCTATTCGCGCATCGAGGGACATTTTGTCTACACAAAATTACATTATTATGCTCTACATTGTCTAGATTTTATTAATATTCTATTCACACACATACACACACAATCTTTTATATTTTACAAAAAATATCCTTTTCCTGAACTATCTCGTATAATATCGTTATGATATTTCCATCGGATATTCTATTCAACGCAAAGAACTGTGATTACTCAGCATGCATAATCATGATAAATGGGGAACAAAGAGACGTTCTTCTGAGATTGATGTTAGACTTTTTATGTCCGATATAAATTATATGACGAACACGGGAATTAAAAATCGCACACAATCCAACACCGTTAGCCAGGATTAACCCCGAAAAGCATTTCATCTTCAGAAGACCGCGATTGTGCTGCATTATAGAGGGGCGTAATTTTGTTGTTACACGCCAGCGAAGCTTCATAAAAGTAGACCGAATGCTTTTTTTTCCATGTGTCGAGCTTGCATTATTTCATTCTTTCGGTGTTTTCACCGTCCGTTTTGCTTCGCTCGTTCTCTCTCTCTTTACGCGATTTCGTAAGCGTCATGTTGTGTAGTGTCTTGCTTGGCAGCGGACATTTTGCAGAGAGAGAAAGAGAGGGAGAAAAATACATTAAATACAAAATTTTGCGTAATGGTTGTGTTACTCCTTTTCATTATTACGCAATAATGGGACTCGCTATGATGTTTCTTCTCAATAAGTATCGAATTTTCTTTATACGGCTATATACATCCTTCGAATGAAGAATGCGTTTTTAAATAAATCCGATTGCATGCGCGTAACTCACTAGAGTATATATATTTTTGTTTCCAATTAATATAGGTATTGTGTATTATCTTGTCGATCGGAATGTGCGACATATCACGTATTTTTTCATACATATGTCGCAGTGGTCGTATATACTCGCATAGATCAGTCCTCGTATTGAATAAAAAAAAAGTTCATCTGTCTTTTAATTTCAGAATACCATTCTACCCGAAGCCGTGCACTTTTGGGAACGAGCGTTGATGGTGCGAGAAACGAAGAGTACCATTAGGTTGAACAGGTAAGCAAAATTGGCTTATCCAATTAGTTGATTCGTTACTTCGGAACATTTTTCTCTTTTTTTTTTATTGATCGATGGTGACTTTATTTTTACGATATTTCATTTTTAACGGATTATAATAACGACTTGAATAATTTCGCTACTCTAATATTATATTAAATGATTGATAGTATAAATAATTACTGGGGCTAATAGGTTTGAATTGTCGAAATCAAAATTTTTTTCTTTGAAATATCTATATATAGGATAAAAGGAATAGAATAGTATAATTCTTGTCTCTCTTTTTTTTCTCGTACTTAATGAGAATTTTTATAAATATATTTTAAACAGTTCTGGGAAACTAACTCTAAGCAAAAAATGTAGACACATCTTATTTTAACGTTGACAATAGAAATTAATGACTGAAAAAATGTTTAAGAGCTGGAAATAGTGAGACTAAAAGAGAGAATGTGCGGAGAAGAATATTAACACTAGATGATGTAATCCACTGAATAGCATACATTATCCTGTCTTAATATGCGTACGCGACTGCAGTCGTCGCGTTTATTTGCATAGAGACCGAGATGCTAAGCTAAAAGCATGTGAATATGTATCGCACGTATTTACGTTCCCACAGCCGTTCATGTGATTTACTGTCATAGAAACACGTACCGGCGTTATTATGGCCCTATATGGTATACCTTATAACATATGTATTTAATTATTACTCTAATAAATTAATTGATGTTCATTATAGAAAAGAAATTGTTTGACATAATGACAGGGATTTAGCCTGAGATATAAGAAATATAATTATTAATACGTATTGCTTATTGATTTATTACATCGAAGATTGATAGAAAACACGAAATTTCGACTTATCCGAATTTTTTTTATAATTATCGCAGAGTTTAGTGTACTGTTGGTAGACGTATCGGAAAGAGATAAATGTTCGCCGTTTATTCTCGACCTTTTTCCGGACGTAGCCGGCATTAGTTTGGCCGCAGATACGGTAGCAACCTAAATTAATGTATCCGTGTCCGCCGACCAGATAAACAGAACACATGGAAGTGCATGGACATAAAGTCCCACGTACACATAACTGCATAGTTATGTGGTTTTCTGCACCGTGTAAACAAGCTCTACATTCCTGCCGTGTTTCTAACAGAGCATGACTTTTCGCCGCGATACCTCTCACGTTGGCACTATATTTCCGAAATCACGCGCGAATTATCTCGCGTGAACAACCATTCGCGAGAACAATGTAGCTATGAGGTTTCTGCGATTACAGATTTATAGTCCAACACATGAGGATGATTTAGTGCAAAGATATGTACCTGAAATACATACCAAATTTTATTTCACATAAAAAACTGAACAAGTCTCTTCAACTGCGTATAAATATAGAATAATTCCATAATTAAATAACACCTATGCACGAATTAAAAATTTAATAATGGAAACACGTATTTATGTGATTATTTTTATTTATTAAATCTTAATAGTTAAAAGATATTTTGTTTGCAAAATATTTATTAATGGTATATTTTAATTTAATATCTTAAAAAATTATTTCTAATATCTTTAAGTTACTGGGATATTATTTTTATAAATTTTGCGATTTTTAATGAGATCATTAATTTTTTATGTAAATATAATGACAATATATATACCGTGATCAAATAAGAAATTGTGTTCAACAAGTCAAAACTTATTTTGTTTTTCTGTATAATCTTTATTTTTTATAGAACTCACTCTAATGCTAACTTACTTACATATTTATTACTTATGTTGATCATATTGTGATTATGTATTTATTTTTATTTTTTTTAATATTTTTTATTTTTCTTTTCTTTTCTTATTCAACGCAGCAAGATAAAAAACTTAGTATGCTACCGTAGGCTTATATCGTCCTATAATTACATAACTTAATAATGAAGCGATTACTTTGCTATTAAGTTCCCTGCTTGCGAGTGTCGCGACAGAAAAAGCTCCACGCTTCTGGTATTTACCACTCTTGCAAGGGTGCCGCAAAGGGCGTTAAGGGTGAAAATTACGCGAGAGATGGTCACCCTCTTAGCTTAAGCCACGGTCAGTGCAAACTCGATCGATCGGGGTAGACGTGCGCAACGCGAGTTTCTTTATTGTGCTCGAGCGAATATCCCATGCCTCTCTATAGGATGCTGATATTCAATGGATGAAAGAGAAGAGCTTAGGAGGCCGCAGAGATACAGGGTATGCGAGATATAATACACAGAGAAACGCGTGCGAAGTAATAAAACAAGAAGAAACGTCGGATTGTAGGGCACATACATCAATCTCTCGCCAGCTCTCTCATTCCTATCGCTGCCTATAAAAATCCAAGCGGGGAAACTGGTGGTAATCTTCGCGCGTCAGCTGCCTCCTCGCGAAAAACTTTGCACGACGTTTATCGATCTTCTATGTATCATTATATACCGTTTTCCGTCACGATCGCGGCGCAAGCTCTTCTTCCACCGGTGCTTCGAAGATAAAGCCGGTATCCGTTCACCATTAAAGTATGTTTAATGGAGCTGATCGAATGCTCGCGCGAATGGAGATGTCAGATTTGGGAAAGTCGAAAGTGCGAACGATCGTTAAATATACAAGTCGCGTATTTGGAGAATTTTGATACTTTGTATCCGTAATAAGTTGGAACGAAATTACTCTGGCAGAATTAATTTTATGCATATAACGAGAAAAGATAGCAATTTCCGCTAACTAAAGTACATCTTGTAATATATTATTGGAAGTATAAGAAAATAATATATAAGTATATCGATAAGATGATTAAAACATGGACTTCAAAGGGTTTGGTTATTGTTGTGTACAATATTGAAAATTCTTGGAAAATTCTTTGATAAGTTATTAGTTATTACATGAAAGGCATGATTTGTTATTATAGAATTATAGAGATGCAATTTTCATGCAATTGATCTAAAATCCTTTTTCAGGTAAGAATTCTCTTGTCAAATTCTTGTTCCATTTTAAATAAATTGATAATACAATTTTTGAAAGACATTAATTATTAGACTCTTATATAAGATTAATCGAAAGAGCTGCAGTATCGTTAATTGTTCCATCTGAATAATTTGTGCATTTTAGCGTCTGACTGCAAAGGATTTTTACGGCGAAATATCTCGGAATAGATATTTTTTTTTTATAGAAACAATTTTTTTATAGACACTTTTTATAGACACATAATTTTTCATAAGATATTAAGGAGATTGTGCGCTGCACCTATACATATATTTCAACCAATCGTATACAATGCGCGCCGGATTATGGACGGGCCACCATTAATTCACGTCAGTCTTCGCAAAAGGTAAATGTAATGTCTGTCGCTCAGAATGCAAAGTGAAATCGGATCAAATGAAACCTGAGCGGGGATGGCCGTGCACAGACGCGCAGAATTGCGTCGGGCACGCGTCAAAGGAGATTCGATTTGAGAGAGAGAGCCGGCCCCGTTTAAACGGGGCGAGCACGCGTGTAACGTTTATCGGTCGAAAGCCCGCCACGGGAGGGATGGATGGGGTGGAAGAGAGTTGCGGGGGATGATTCGCAGGTCGTTTACATAACACGATATTACGGCATAACGACTGTAACGCTTTAATGCACTTCCGGACCGTGCATCGGGCTGCCGATTGAAGATGCTTCAAGAGCCCCTTTAACCGCTTATCGTTTGCAACGAAGCGGTTTAGCCTGCGTTTACTCTGCTTTGAATCGTACGAGCAGGAGTTGACTCTGTCCATGTTTGAACAATACGTACAAATTTGAGTATAGGATAGTCTTTGACATAAATATCACTCATTCTTATTGTATCTCGAAACAATTGCTTCGTCTATTGCTATTGTATCCACGCAATCTATTTAATTTTTCTAAATTGTTTCTATGTCTATTTAGCTAAACATAAAATACAATAAAAGCCATACATATTAGATATATTAAAAAATCTTGAATATTTTTGAACAATTTTTAAATTCAAAAATATTATACTATAAGTAAAACAACAACTTAATTAAAAAGTACTGGAATGCGGAGGTTAATTTTTATAAATTTTAGAAATATTGAGTTTTTTTGTAAGAGCGAAAATGTTTTTACGTAGTGTATATTACAAATTTACAGAATTTAATATTTTTACACATTTTACTACAATGTCAATTGACTTTCTGATATCGCGAATCTGCATAAGTTCATGCAGATTAATGAGATAATTGATTAAAACGCATTAATCAATTTCAACGTGAGAATTTGATAATGTAATATATCATATCAATTTCTATACATGCATTGACATTCGTGAATTCAAATACGATCACATAAATTTCTCTTATTTACGTCCATGTATATGGAAATTATGCATTTTATAGCGATAAAATTTATTACTTTTCTTAATTATTGCTAAACTGTCAGTTGTACATATATAAGACTAAAAATAAATCAATTTTTCTAGGTTTTATTGAAAATATATTATATTTTACTTAATAACTGATAATAAATCAGAATTGTATTATATGTATCTATATATATATATATGTAGGCATTTTTTATAAAGACGTTAACCGACGATGAGATTAGCTGATTTACGTGTTTTGTTTGTCGACCTCGTGCCGGGTACTTATTTATTTGTAATATTTATTATTGAAAGCGTTCTGAGCGATCCTTTGTTTGTCGAGAAAACCAAAAACACATCTCTGCGCGATGAACGAAGGTAATTCTGATTGGTCCGATGTTTCGGGTAGGGAAGGTTTTAACACCGGGTATAAATATGCCGACTTTTTGGGAATCGACAGACAATAGAGAACCGAACAGAACAGATCATATCTCTCTTCTTCGAAACATCGAACGACGGCGAAAACGGCAAGATACGGCTCTGAAGAATTGTCGACGTGAAGACGTGTAATATTCACAATTGCACATTATACATACATATACATACTATCATTTTGCGTTGGAATAAATTAAACCTTTGGCCTATCCATTGAAACACGATATCCTAATCG